GACTCGGCGCCTGCCGCTTCCTGCCCGGATGCAACTCAGCCTGCGCCGCCTGCCAGCTCTGCCCTCGCAGCTGCACCCGCCGTGGCAAGGTGGCCCCACGCCACCTGCCCGCCTGACCCCTCTGCAGCCGGGCCCTGCCCTTCGGCCCCTCTTTGTGGGGCGTGAGCCCTGCTGGGGCTGGGGACACCAGGCATCGCCCTCAGCGCTTGCCACCTCACACCCTTTCCAGTCGGCATGTGCTGTCTTCCCATCACGCTCCCAGAGCCCGTGGTTCCCTGCTCCATCCCACGTTGCCCCCCGGCTGCTGTACCACCGGGCTGTTAGGGCTGAGGCGCCGGTGAGGGGTCCGGTGGGGGGTCTCGGGCGAGCTGCCTCCTGCCACAGGGCCCTGGGGAAGGAGGGAGCCGGACCCCACCCAGGACGGTCTCCCCCAGTGTGCAGGATCCTTGGCTAGCAGTGGGGACATGACCGGGGCTGGGCACCTGTGGTGAATAAAGCAGCTGTGTCCAAAGTGTGTTTGCAAAGCAGACCCCGCGGTGCAGCAGGGAAGCCGGCAGCCACGTTTCCAGCACACCGGGGCAGGGACAGTGTCTGCGAGGCTGGCTTGGGAAAGGCCCCAATGGTCCCAGGTATCTGAGGGGCAGAAGCTTGCAGGAGGGAGGGTCCTGGGGCCAAGCCTGGGGGTCCCAAGGCAGCCAAGCAGGGCACCCTCGCCTTATGCCCTGGGGGCAGAGCGGCCCCTGGACTGGGTCACGCAGCACCAGGGAGGGGAGCGGTCCTGAGGAGCAGTGACAGCTCTGCACCCCCACGGGGTCCCAGCCAGCACCGGGGCAAGGGCTGAAAGGCGAGCGATGCGGGGGGCTCGTCTCCTGGCTGGATGCCCCCAGCTGGGCCAGGGTGCGAGGAGCCCAGGGGACGGGCACTGGGGGGGTGGGAGCTACGAGGCCAACACCTGGGGCAGAAGAGACAGTCCCCCGTCCCGATGCCGGCGGTGGAAGCAGAGGCGGTGCAGGCCTGCAAGACGACGCTCGGTTGTTACTTGTCGTTTAATAGGAAGCCAACGAGACAGCACGGACCTGAGCAGAGCGGGCCCCCAGCCCCCCATCCCCGTGGGGCCGCTTGTGCCAGGCACGGCTCAACTCACACGGGTGGGAGCCCAGCACCTTCCCAGCCCCTTGGCGCACCCCAAAGCGGAGGCTGTGTTGCTGGCGTCTGGTCTCCAGGTCCCCCCCATCACATCTCTTCTGCCCGGGGGCCGGGGTCTCCCCGCTGCTTCGTCGGCTGGGCTGCGTCTCATCGTTGCAAGTCACTTGAAGGCACGAAGGAGCCTCCCGGGGCATGAGGTTCCCGGGCCTGGGCTGTGCTGGGAGGCTGAGCCCGTGGCACGTGCTTCCGAGCAAAGGGGAGGTGGCCGGAGCCAGAGAAGGCCCCGGGGAGGAGTGGGGGGGGATTGTCCTGGATCGAGGAAGGCACGAAGGTGAGTGTGCAGTGCCCTGAGCCTGGCGTGTCTTTGGGCTGCGCTGGCCGGAGTGGGGCCGAGGGATGTCGGATGTCTCTGCCCAGCGCCTGTGCCCCCGGGAGGGGTGCGCTGCAGAAGCCTCCTTCCCTGCCTGCTGCCCCTGCCCCAGGTTGGTGAGGAGCTGTCCAAGCTGCCAGGATTTGGCCTTCGTCCCGACACCGGACAGTCCAGGGGGTCCCGTCACGCTTCCGCGGCAGCCCGGTGACGGCATGCAGCAAAGCCGGCTGGCCCCGCTCCCTCCTGCGTGCCACGGAGCAAGAGGGGGCAGGGGGAGGCTTCTCCATCCATGGGGCCCATCCGTGGCCGAGTCGGTGGCCGGAGGCTCTGCGGGGCCCGGTGCATCTGGGGCACCAGGCGCTCGAGGGAGGCGGTGACGAATGCGGCCCCCTCCCCTGCTGGGGATTTGGTTTGGGTTTTTTTTGGTAGCAGCAAAGCACCATTTTCCTCTTTGTTTCTTTACAAAAAAAATTCATCAGCATCAAAATAACAAGAACAGACGTCTGTGGGGGGCCGTGGCCGGGGGAGTGGCAGGCCGGGCCTACGAGGGGCACTCCCGGGTGTTGGTGCCGGCCTCCGCGTGGTGCTGCAAGTCGACGGGCTGCGGCGGCTGCTGGCCCGGCCTCTCGTTCATCAGCACCAGGTTCTTGATGCAGCCCGTGATGCCCGAGGTGAACTTGCCCGCGGTGAGGGTCTGCACGGCCGGAGCGCCTCCTGCGGGCAACAGGGGGCGGTCAGCCCGCAGGGCTGGGCACAGGGGCGGAAACTGAGGCACCCAGAGGGAAAGGGATAGGGACACACACTCACACATGCACATGCACAAGCATACACACTCACAGAAACACATGCACACGTGCTCACGCAAACGTGCATGCACATACACAAATGTGTGCATACGCACATGCATACACACGATGATCCACCGGGTCCCTTCCGACTCTATAATCTATGAATCCATGTACACACGCTCACACAAATGCTCGTGCACACACGTACAAATGCATACATAAGCACCCACATACATACACGCACACACGCGCTCACACAAAGGCACACGCACAGACACACACACACAAGCACACAAATATGTACACATGCACATACATACGCACACGCACAAACAGGTGTTGTGTGCCCTGCCCCCCATGCAGCTGCCCTGGCCTCACCGATGTACACGCTGCCCTTGGTGTTCACCATGATGTTATTTCCAGGCGACTCTCCGCTCACCGGCTCCTCTCCGTCCACCTGCAGCGAGCCCTGCCGCCCTTCCCTGCAAGGCCATGGTGTCGGGGGGGGGAAAGGGGAGCCCGGGTCATCAGAGCCCTGAGACCCTGGGCAAAGGAGGGAAGAGGTGGTGCCCTCCCCTGACCCTGTGCCAGGCAGCTGAGGTCTGGCACCAAGCTCTCCTGGCACCCAGCTCCTGGCACATCCCAGCGGCTCAAGCCCCGTGCCAGTCCCTTACCGCACGGCTGTCACTTTGTGCCACTCGCCATCATTGATGGGGTCATCGGAGACGATGCTGGCCTCGCCGCTACCCAGCTGGTAGCTGCAGGGAGACACCAGGAGGGTTAGCGTGGCCCATGGGGCTGCCCCTGCCCAGAGCCAGGGCGGAGGGGAGCCAGGACTGCGGTCAAGGATGGGGAGTGAAGCTGGGAGCTTTGCTGGGGCAGCCTCTGGGGCTGATGGGCACAGAGTGGCGGTCAGGGCGCTGCTCACCTGAACACCAGGTGCCCGTCTTTGAGGCCGAGGCTGATGAAGTCCTTGGCTTTGCCGCTCTCCCCTTCCTCCTGCCAGCGAGAGAAGCATGCTGAGATTGCTCTGACCCTGGCCTGGTGCCACTTTCCCCCACCTCTACATGCCCACGACAGTCAGGCTCAGAGCACGTGCGTGTGTGTGCACACATGCATGCAGGAGGCGATCCCACAAGTGTGCATGGGAAGGAGCAACCTCGGGGCTGCCTCCATGCAGAGGAGCCACCTCAGCCAGCAGCAGGTGCTGGATGTGCTTGTGGCATCTGGTCTGGGGGCTGAGAGAGGAGTGGGGCACCATGCCGGGACAGTGGCACGTGGCATGGTCCCAGGCGCAGTCCTGTGCTGCCCCTTGCCTGCAGCCTGGGCCAGCCGGCCTGGCACGGCTCAGTAAATACCTCGTTAGTAGCATGCAGGTCGAAAGCAGGCTCCCCGGCTACCTGGAGAAGAAACGGGCACAGGGCAGTTATGCAGCCACAGCTTCAAAGCTGGGGTGGGGAGGACGGAGCGGCGCAGGGGGCATGTTAGTCTGGGTCCCAGGCCAGAGCCAGGCAGCAGAGGTGGGCTTCATGCAGGCAGAGGCCAGTGGGACACATGGCAGCTTTCCCAATCCAGCCTGGCCATGCGATGCAGGAGGGAGCAGCCAGTGCAGGCAGCCCCACGTGTGCAGGGGCCCTGCTCACGGCCCAGCTTTGCTGCGGCAGACTGTGGGGATCGGGGCCCTGCCGGGCACACCAATAGCCTGCTCCATGTGCACGATGCTCCTGCTTTCTGTGCCAGCCCCTAAGCCCCTCCGAAGCCAGCTCTGCACCCCTGAGAGCCCTGTTTCAGCAGGGAAGTCCTCGCCTGCTTCCACCAACCTGCCTTGCCCCCCCCGCTCGCTGGCTCCTAATGCCAGACTCATGCCCCAGCTCTCCCTCAGCTCCCTTGTGCCGGCAAAGCCAGTCCCGGCTGCTGGGGCAGGCCAAGTCTTTCTGGCTCCTGTCTCGGCCCCGCTGCAGAGGTGCTGGCTCCTGGCACCAGCACATGGCACCGAGTCTGCCCCGGCGCCGTGCCAGGCTGCCATGGACTCACCACACCCTGCCAGAGGACCATGCCGTTGGGAGAGGTGGTGCGCACTTCCAGCTCGATGGTCTCCGGTGCCTCGGGGCGGCTGCAACGAGACGAGGCTGCGATCAGATGTTGCCGGGTGCAGGAGAGACCCCAGGCCCCGGAGCCGCGCTCCCCACGCCTGCCGCAGAGAGCCTCACCCTCCCCAGATGCCACCCGCTCCTGGGCCAGGACCCCGCAGCCTGGCTCTGCCTGGGGCTCCCTGGCCTCTGCTCGCTGGACGGGGGGAACCCTTCCTGCACCCCTGGCTGGCCAAGGAAGCCAGACTGCAATGCAGTGAGCACCTCTCCTCCTCCCCAGGCTCCTGGTGCCCACTCACCTCCTGGGGAACAGGTGTCTGGGAAGCGCAAGGTAGCCGCCATCATAGAAATAGGCTCCATACTGGCCCGGGGCATCTGCAGGAGGAGAGGAGGTGGTCAGGGGTGCAGGTGGGGTGGGTGGGCACAGCAGTAGGCATGGGCTGGCAGGCCAGGGCAGTCCAGGGGAGTGGGATGGGGGCGGCTGCTGGGGCAGGGCATGTGGGTGGGATCCGCAGGAGCTCGGCCATGGGGCTCGGAGAAGGGGAAGGCCAGGCTCTGTGCCACGGGAAGGCGGGTACTGTACCGTTGCCCCCACTGCCCTCGGGGAGCCACTCCCGGTCCAGCTTCTGCAGCGCCAGGCCTGCATGGGCAAGAGATGGAGACGTGCGTTAGGTTCCCCCGACAGTCCCTACCCAGGTGCCTACTGCACCCAACGCCCCAGACACCCTCTCCCACCTACTCCAGCTCCTGCTGTCCTCTGGGGCTGAGTCCGCCCCAGCGAGCACCCCCGAGCACTGCCCCCCTCACTGCCCACAGCCCTTGTGCCCTGGCACCTACTCTGCTCGCAGTACGTCCCCACGAAGCTGTCTGGGCACAGGCACCGGCTCGCCTTGCATGTCCCACCGTTCAGGCAGGGGTTGCCCAGCAGGCACGGGTCGTCGGCCAGCTCGCAGCGGTCACCTGTGAGGAGAGGCTGGCTGAGCCCCAGGCCACTGCGCCGGCTCGCAAAACATGTGGGCAGATGTACACGCACGCACAGGTATGTGCACAAACCACACACATACACATGTGCACATACATATAGGCACATGCACACCCGGACACACATGCATGCATACAGGCATGCACAAGTGTATGCATACAGGCATGCACACAGACACACACATGCACGCATGCAGGCACACACACACACGGACACACCCACACACATACACGTATGAACAAAATATGCATACATGCACGCACGCACATGCACACACACGCACAAATGTATGCATACAGACACACACACATACATACATGCACCCCCTGACACACACATGCACAGGTCTATGCATACAGGCAAGCACACACACATACACACACCCATGCACAAATGTATGCATACAGGCATACACACACACGTATACATGCATGCACAGGCACATACAGATGCATGCACACATACACATAATGCACACACACACACACACACACTGCCTCTGCAGCATACCCCCGGCCTGGGGTGCGTGCAGCCCTCCCAGCACCCAGCCCCTGCCACGGGGCAGTCGCACCCTGACCAGGTCTCAGGGCAGTTGTCTACAAGGGGGGCCCCAACCCAGCCCCTGCAGCCGGGAGGGCCCCGAGCTGCCCTGGTGATGCCGGCACAGCCTGGCACACACACCCGAGTCCCATGCTCACCGTGAAAGCCGTCCTGGCACAGGCACTGGAACTCGTACTCGCCGGTGGGCAGGCACTTGGCGCCGTGCAGGCAGGGCTGGCGGTCGCAGGGCGAGCTGTCGTAGCACTGCGCCACGCTCCGGCTCTCCTGGAAGCTGTACGAGATGTCCACCCTCTTCCCGTTGATGGACACCTGTGGGGCAGGGGGTGCCACGTCACCCACACCTGGGCCTGAGCCAGACAGACTGCGGGTCCCTTCCTTGGTCTGTCCAGGGCCAGGGCCCAGCACTGGGGCAAGAACCCACGTACCAGACTCCCAGCCCCGGCCAGGAGGAGAGGGACCTGCCCCATCGGGCACCAAATGCCCACGTCCACGCGGGGAGTGGAACCCAGGAGTCCGTGTTCCCCACAGTCACCCCACTCCCCTCCCAGAGCCGGGGGCCGAACCCAAGAGTCTGGGGCCCTCGCTGTCCCCGCAGAGCGCCCGTCCCTCGCAGGGCAGGGGGCCAGCCTCACCTCGCCCACGCAGCCGTGGAAGTGGGCGCTGACATTGGCGGCCACAGGCAGCACCACAGACGGGTCCACCCCGCCCAGGAACATGGGCGTGCGCAGGTTGAGGCCTTGGCTCTTGCCCGGTGACGACCGCTTCACTGGCCGGCCGCCGTCCACCACGAGGGTGCCGTCCTTATTGCTGCGCTCCGCCGAGACCCGGTGCCAGCGGCCCAGGGTGAGGGGCTCCGTGCTCTGCAGCATGGCCATGCCTACGAGACAGAGTGCGTGGGGAGATTTGCCCGGCTCAGGCCTGCCTGAGCCCCGGCACCTCTCACGGCAGCCGGCACGCTCAGGGCCATGTGCCGTGCCCAGCCAGCTCCCTGCTCTGTGGCCACAGCGGCCAGGGCACCAAGGAGGGACCTGTGAGCGGGCATCCAGGGGCACTGTGAGCCAGGGAGAAATGGAGCCAGATCCATGCCAGGGGGCATGGAGGGCTAGTTCCCTCTCCCTTCTGCCCCCATCTGCCACAGGACACTGGACCTCACGGACCTGGGGTCTGACCCATCCGGGGCAGTTTTTATGAGGGTGCTACTGAGCTACAGAGCATTCCCAGGTCCAGGCAGCAGGTGTGATGGGCATGCTGGGTCTCAGCCCAGGCCCTGGGCATCTGGGGCACGAAGCTCTCGTTGGCTGGCATGCCCCGTCCCGGCTGTGCGGGCTGCGCCCCTACCTGAGCCCAGCTCGTAGAGAAACTCCAGGCGCCCGGCAGCCATGGTGAGCAAGACGAAGTCTTCCACGGGGCCGCCCTTGCCCGCGCTGAAGAAGATGAGGCCATCGGGCGACAGTGGCTTGAACTCGGCGTCCACCCGCAGCTCGTAGTGGATGTTGGTGAGGGGTGGGTACGAGATGAAGGCGTCGCGCCCGTTGAAGAAGGGGGTGGTCACCATGACCCCTGTGGGCACAGGGAAGGAGGGTGGTTACCTGAGTGGCCCCGCTCCAGCCCGGCTGCCCGCGCCGGCCCTGCACTCACCTTCCATGCACTTCTCGCCCGTCTTGCCCAGGTGGCAGCGGCAGGTGTAGCCCTGCCCATCCGCTCGGTTAATGCAGGTGGCGTCCGGTCCGCAAGCCTCTGCGGGGGGAGACGGTGCCATTTATTATCAAGCTGCTGCTCTGGGCATGGGGGTGACTTTGGGATGTCCCATGGGAGGGGATCCTGCAATTCTCCACCCAGCCCCAAGCCCAGGCTGGAGACCTGGCCCCCCGGCAGAGCTCGGTGCAGCGATGGAGCAGGGGTCGCCCGGCGGGTGTACCTGGGTGGCAGTGCAGGGCCTGCGAGTGCTCGCAGTTGCTGCCGGTGAAGCCCTGCGGGCAGTGGCAGACGTAGCTGCTGCTCTCCGAGTCCCTGCAGACACCGCCGTTCTGGGAAGGGCCGAGCAGACGGTTAGAGGGTCTGTCTGGGGGGCACGGCCCCCACCGCCCCCACACTGGCGCAGGTTACCTGGCATGGCTGGTCCCTGCAGGTGGGGCAGCTGGCGACACCGTGAGCTGGCAGGTCCAGGTCCTTGAAGATCACCTCTTCGCCCTGGATCAGCAGCTGGCGCACGCAGCCTGCAATGAGGGCAAACGGGGCTGGTGAGATACCCGGGGGCGTCCCCAAATGCATGCGGGTAGCGGGGCAGGGAGCGCGGGGGCCATGAACATGTGAGCAGTGCTGGGCAAGGCAATGCACAACCTCTCCCGGAGGCATGCTGCCCTCACACGCATGCAGGCACACGCAGGCTTGGCTGGGCCCTAGCACGTGGGCACCAGGGCTGGGCTGCACAGGGGACACTCACCGATGAAACCGCTGCTGAGGCCGGTCTTGGCGATGGCGGCGTAGCTGGGATACCCGCCCAGGAACAGCTCCTCGTTCAGATCCAGCCCCTGGAACTTGCCCTGCGCGTACAAAGAGGGTCAGGGCTGTGCCCTGAGGACCCTCCACGTCCCACTCGAGTTGCAGCAGCAATGCCAGCCAGCCCCTGAGTCCCCGCGTCCCTGCGGGGCTCGGCTCCAGGCCTGCTGGGTGTCTCGGGGCGCTGCCAGGCCCCCTGCTCACCTGCGACGTGCCGTTGACGGGTGGGTGGTTGTCCAGCACGAGGGAGCCCTGGGTGAGGTTGCGGTACAGCCGCACCGTGTGGAACTCCCCCAGCCGGATCGGTGTCGGGTGCCGGATCGTGGCCATGCCCGAGCCGGCGTCGAACCTGCCATTTCAAGCCCGTCAGAGCTGCGGAGGGCAGCGGGGACGTTCTCCCTCCATCGCCTCGCCCCCATGCTCAGAGCCCAGCCCTGCGTGCACCGGGACCCCCCAGAGAGCACCAGGAAGCATGGTTTGGAGAAGCCCCGTGCCAGTCAGGGGGCACCGGCCCGCCACGCTTGCTCCCCGGGCCCAGGCCTTGCCCGTGGTGCAGGGACACGGTCAGGTCTCACCTGAATTCTGGGCGGCCGCCCACCAGGCCGAAGGACACGAAGTCGGCACCGGTGCTCTTCTTCTGCCCATTGTACAGCAGCATCCCTGCAAGAGCAGAGGGGTGAGCCTGGCGGCAGTGCCACGGCCAGGCATGGGGCCTAGGGCAGGAGGCAGCTAGAAGCACCCTGGTCCCTGGGACCTGCAGGAGCCCTGACTCGTGGGACCAGCTAGCAGAGGCTCCTGGGCAAGCCTGGGACCCATGCATGGGTCTCTGCAGCTGGGGCCAGAGGAGCTGCTCCACCCGTGCAGCAGTAGTAGGCTCTTATCTTCTACCAATGCAGGCAGACACACACCACACTCAGCCAGGTCTCCCCAAGCAGACCCAGCCCCGCTGCTTCTGCCCACCCCCAGGCAGCGCTGATTAGGAGGCGACCCCCAGGCCAGCAGCCCCACGGCACGACCCGGGCACCCCCACCCCGTGCCTCGGTGTGATGTCACCGCCTGTGACATCACTGCATGGAGGTTAAGCACAGCAAGACAGGGACGGCCCCAGCTGCAAGGAGTTAGGCACACAGGAATCCTGGCCCGTGCTGAGGCCTTGCTGGTCCTGGGCACTCAGTTAGTCTGGGCTGGGCTGGTGGGTTTAACGTGACCCCATGGGGTGCATGGGGCGTGGGCACACCCCTCCCCGAGCTAGTCCCCCGGGCAGCGGGGAAGAGGCGGCAGGCAGAGCTTACCTGAGTACAGAATGAGAGCTGGAGGGGAGAGGGGTATGGACAGAACAGATGGAGGAGGACAGACAGGCGGGGAGAGACAGAGTTAGGGGCCAAGACGGAGAGAAAGGAGGAAAATCAGAATGGGTGAGTGAGAAACACGGGCTCGATCCGCCTGCCTCTGAGCGGGGACGCTGCCACGGGCGGGGGGAGCTTGTGAGATGGGGGCTCAGAGGAGCCGGGGTCTCTCCCTCCCTCCTGGGGCACAGGCCGGTGGCCTGGACCCGATCTGGGCAAAGGGTCTCTCCGCTTACCATCGGCGGTGTCCGGCCGGAAGGTGATTTGGATCTCAAACTTCTTGTAGGCGTCCTTGATGGTGGGCAGGGGCAGGTAGGACTGGGGGCTCTGCGTGAAGTAGGGCACCACCCGCTCTGCAATTGGGGGGAGACAGTGAGCTGCAGCTATGGCTTCTGCCCGTCGGGTTTGGAGCCCCGTTGCACGGGGTAGCTCCGTGCCCGGGGACCACGAGGCCTCGTTACCCCCATGCCGACCTCCCCTGCCCCTGCCACGCAGACCAATGCACGGGCCTGGCCACAACTGCGCTAGCAGGGGCAGGATGGAGATGGACCCGGCTGTCAGCAGTTCCCCGGGAACAGCCATGCTGCAGCCGGGGGGGAGGGGAGAGCACGGCCACAGCTGCCAGCACCACGCCGGGTCCTGAGCACCTCCCAGAGTAGCTCCCTTGTCTGCACCCCACGGGCCTCAGCCGGCTTGGCAGCGACCTTGCTGCCCGTGGCTGGAAGGGCGGCATCCGTTGCGTGTGCGGGAGCACGGCTGGGGAGGGGTGCGGAGGAGGGAGCGAGGGCCGCGTCCCAGTCGGCTCCGGGGGCTCACGCGTCGCCCCAGTGCACTCACCTCGGACCTTGAGCATGGAGATGGCCGTCACCTTCCCCTGCCGGTTGGAGGCTGTGCAGATGTAGACGCCCGCATCTTCCGGCTTGACGGAGGGGATGGTCAAGATATTGCTCTCCAGCCGGATGCCTTCGGGGAGGTCTCCCTGCAGCTGAAACCCAACACCGGAGCAGGAAACTGTCACCACCGCAGAACCACTGACCACGGTCCCCGTGGACAAGGTGAAGGCTGTCACCGTGTCTCTACAAACCCAGCTCCTTCTACCCTCCATCTCTCCCCCACCCCCTGCTCCTGTGCCCAGCCCGTGCTCATCTGGCCTGGGGACAAACCCTGCTGGCACCTTCTCTGGGAGGTTGTGCACTTACCTTGGTCCACTTGATCTCCGGGATGGGGAAGCCAGTAGCCAGGCAGGGGAACACGGCTGTGGACCCCACGGCCACCTCCTTCATCTCCGGCTGGGCGGCAATCTGGGGGACAGCTGCAGGAGGGAATAGCGCTCTTCAGGCCTTTGGGGCGAGCAACCGTTCACCCCCCAACATCGCCAGGGCCTCTCTGCTTACACTGGACATGGAGGATGACGTGAGATTGCACGGTGCCCACGTCATTGGTGGCGGTGCAGCGGTACTGCCCTGCGTCCGACTGCTCCACCCGCTCGATCTTCACCGTCCCACCACTGATGACGAGGTCGGGGCGCAGGCGTCCGCCCACCTTGCTCCAGGTGATGTGCGGCTTGGGGTCCCCGATGGCCAGGCACTCGAACTCCACCGCGCTGCCCATCAGCACCGTCTGCACCAAGGTGCGGATGTTGATCATCACCTTGGGCAGCCCTGGGGGGGAGAAGGCAGAGCGGTGAGAGGGCGGCCGAGTCTCCACGCAGCCCCAGGGAGCAGGGTCAACCTCGGGGCCGGGTTCCCCCTTACCCTGGATCACCAGCTTGGCACTGTGTTGGGCCTCCCCGGAGGGGCTGGTGGCCCGGCAGGTGTACACGCCCTGGCAACTGCGGTCCAAATTCGGGATCCTGCAGAGAAACAGCAAGGGAATGGGCTGGGTCCTGTGCACCTAGCTGCTGGCCCTTCACCCCGTGGCCATGCCATGCTACCAGATCACTGGCATGGCAAGAAGTGGTGACCCCCCATTGCTCACAGTGCCCCTGCCAAGACTCTGCCAGCCCCCCCCATGAACACAAACCCACGGGACAGCCCACCCCGAGGCAGGAGTCTCGCAGCTCCTTACCGCAGCACCCCGTTCGTCACACTGTGGCTGGCTGGCAGCTCCCCGTCCTCCTTGAACCACTCGATCTGCGCCTGCGGGTCCCCGGTGATGGTGCAGGTGAACTCGGCCGTGCCGCCCACGCCCTTCGTGTTCACGCGTGGGGTCACGTGCACAGTTGGAGGCCCCCTGGATACTGGTGGGGTGGCACCACCTGTGGGGTACAGACACCAAAGCTCCAGCCATGGACACCCCCCTCCCCGGCTGAGGGGATCTGCCCCAGGGCCGGTGTGCATTGCACTTGGCCATGGGGGTGCTCCCCACGCACACTCCTGCAGCACAGAGCTTCCGCTCTGGGGCTGCTGCCATCCCCCAGGAGCCCGGGGCCTGGCTTGTTCCCCCAGGGCCTGGAAAGTGGCTCTCAGCTCCTGACTGCCAGCATGCAGTGTGACCCCTCCAGGACCTGCATCTCCGCCCCTGCCTTGCTCTGCGTGTGTGGGTGTGTGCATGTATGCATGCATATGCACATTTTTGCACACACACGAGCGTGTGTGCATGTGTGCATGCATGAATTCATGCTTGCATGTGTGCATAAATGCACGTGTGTACCATGTGCCCACATATGCATGTGAGTGCATATATGCATGTGTGTTTATATGCACATGGCTATGTACATGTGTGTGAGGGGACTGCAGGGGCAAACCAAGCCGGACAAAGCCGGAGGCAGCAGTGTCCTTCCAGCCCGTCTCATGCCTGGGGTCAGCAGGACATTTCCCTGGGGTCTGCTCATGTCTTGTGGGGGCTGGGCTTGGGGCTGCCATCACCATACGCTCACCCCAACTCTGGAGGTCCTGCCTCCCTGCCCCCTTCCCACCCATTCTCCAACACTGTCGGTACCAAGGCCTGGAGCCGCCCTCTCCTTGAGGCTCGGACCCCAAGATCCTGCTGGCATCTCCCCAGGGGCCTGACCATGTCCCAGCCCCTTCCCCAGGACAGAGGAGCAAGCGGAGGCCCCAGCTCAGGTGCTCACCCTGGACGCTGACCCTGGCGATGGTCTCTGCGGAGCCCACCCTGTTGCTGACGATGCAGCGGTAGGCGCCCGCGTCCTCGGGCTGGGCCGGGCTGATGCGCAGGACGCTGTCCCGCAGCACGGCGCGGTCAGGGAGGAGGCCGTTGACCTTGCCCCACTGGTAGCGCAGGGGGGGCGTGCCGTGGGCCAGGCACTGCAGCTGCACCGTCTCGCCCGCTCGCACCGAGCTCTCGTCGGGCAGGCTGGTGGCGTAGGGCGGCACTGGGGAAGGCAGGCACTGTGAGGGGTCCCTTCGGGGCATGGGACCTGCCTCCCTCTACATTTCACCACCGGGCATGGGGACAGCATGAGGTTAAAGCTCAAGCGCGCTCAGCCCACCCGCCTTTCCCTGGCAGACCCTGGCTGCATCTCACTTTCCACGTCCAGTGTGACGAAGGCCTCGGAGAAGCCGGCCGCGTTGCTGGCATTGCAGATGTACTGCCCGGAGTCCTGCTGTGCCGCTCGTGGGATGACCAGGGTGTTGTTCACCACTTTGTGCTGCCAGGGCAGTGGTGCCCGCAGCTTGGACCAATGGATGCTGGGGGCTGGGTCGCCTGCAGGGACAGGGGCAGGTTGGAGTCACCCGTTAGCCAGGCTGTGGTGGCCGGCGGCATGGCACGGCACCCCCTAAGATGGGCAGCCATGCACGTCTCCAACACACCAGGTTCCTGCAAGGTGCAGGGATGGAGATGGATAGACAACGGGGGCAGGGATGGGGACAAATGCACAGACAGACCCACTGCAGAGGGGCTTGCATGGGGATGCGGAGGTGGATCAAGGGGTGGGATCTGGCCCGGCCCACACTCACATACCCGTGGCAGAGCAGTGCAGTGTGGCTGTCTCTCCGGCCACCACCGTCAGCGTAGGCTCCACCGTGACCTCAGGGGCACCCGGGGTCCTGTGGGCAGCTTCCACGGTCACCTCCACCTGCACCTGGGCAGAGCCCACGGGGTTCTGGGCCACGCACACGTACGTGCCAGCGTCCTCAGGCTTCACGGGCGAAATCTGGGGGTGCAGAGATGTGGGAGAGTGATGGCTTCTGCCAGGCTGGGGCTGGGGTGCTCCCCTCCTCCCTGGAGACCCAGCCCCTTCCTGCTCAGCAGGGCCGATACAGGCTAGGAGCCAGGACCGCAGCAGGGATAGCCATCCTGGCTCCTCTGCTGTTGGCCCCTCCATGCCCGGGGGGAGCAGGGCAGGACAGGGGTGCTCTGTGGCTGCAGGCATGTGTCCTGCTGCCCCGGGGACCCCCGGACCGTGGTGCGTGGAGGGTGAAGATCCACGGGGCCCAGCTCACCTGCAGCACGGCTTGGCTCTCCAGGGGCAGCAGCGTCTGGTGCTCTATCTTCTGCCGCACGCCCAGCCGGCTCCAGCGGACCAGGGGGCGGGGGTCGCCCCGGCCAAGGCACTCCAGGCTGAGGGACTTGCCCACCTTCACCGTCACGGGGCCCTTGGGCATCACGGAAACCGTGGGGGACTCTGGGGGGATGGAGGTGTCAGGGAGGGGCAAGCCGGTCCCGACTGTGGTGTCTCCGGGGCTGTGAGCTGGGCCCCGGGCTTCCTCAGCCACTGCTCACCTTGCACCATGAGGTTGACCACGCTGCTGGCTATCCCAAAGCGGTTGGAGGCCACGCAGTGATAGGTGCCCTGGTTGCTGGCGCGAGCCTGGGAGATGGTGATCACCGAGCCGTTGGGGCTGATCTTCACGTTGTCTGGGGAGGCAGAGACGCCGCTGAGCCACCCCCTGCCCTGGCCACAAAGTGCCTCTGAGGGAGGCTTAAAACCCCCTGACACGCAGAGCAGAAAGCAGGGCAGGGGGCAACCGACAGAGCCCAGAAACCTGGGAAACCCGGTAGTAGAGCACAGGCATCGCTCCACCTGCATCATCCCCGAGCAGTGCCTGAACACCCCCAGTGATGGAGGGTCCCCCCTTCTCTGGGAAGAAACTTTTCTAACAGCCCTTCTGGAGGGGGAAGCCAGGGCTGGGTAACTAGGAGCTCCCCGGCAGCCAGTGCTCCTGGAAAATGCCCCGCAGAAGTCCCTCGTGCCAAGCCAACCCTGTCCCCTGGGGCGCTGGAGCTGAGCGGCTGTGGGCTGGCAGGGACAGCCCCAGGGCATGCCGTGCCTTGCAGCTGCAGGCCGGGGGCCATCCTCCAGGTGATGTTGATGGGCCGCGCGCCGTTATGGATGCGGCACTTGAAGGACGCATCCTCGCCCTGGCGCACGGTGGTGCTGTGCGGGTCGATGGAGATGATGGGGCTCTGCAGGCCTGCGGGAGGGAGGGAGGCACTGGGGTGATGCCAGGTCAGGGGTCCCTGGAGCCCACGGACCCTCTCTCCCGCCCACCACCCATTGGACTCACGGTAGCCGGAGCCATCGCCAGAGGAGACGGTGACGATGATGGAGGCCTCCTGGGAACCGGCGCCGCTGCTGACCCGGCAGACGTATTCGCCCGAGTCGGCCACGGAGACCTGGGCCAGCCGCAGCCGGGAGCCAGAGACCTGCGGGGAGTCCGTGGAGGCTCAGTCCGAGGACAGTCCCGGCAAGGAGTCCTCCCCCCGTGACACCAGAGCTGTGGATGTGACCCCCCGCCCATGGCTCCTGCGTCTGGGTGGCCACGAGGAGCCCGACGGAGGAGCCCTGCCCTGCTCGGGCCCGGGGAAACGCCGGTGCTGGGAGTGGGAAAAGGAGGGGTGGACGGCGCGGCCCCTACCTGGTGTTTTGCCGGGAGGGAGCCATCGCGCTTGTACCACGTGACGCGGGGCTGGGACTGGCCGGCCACCACGCAGCTCAGGTCCACGGTCTGTCCTTCGACAACGGAGGATGACGAAGCCTCAACCTGGACGGGGGGCGTGAAGCCTGAAGCTGGGGGTGGAAGGGGGAGGGTTAGACTTGGGGCAGGGTCTGTGCACACAGCTGAGAAATGAGGGGGAAGCGGTTTCTAAAGGGGCAGGTGCAACCCATACGGAGCCCACAGGGCCCCCGAGATGACCCCGACGGTGGGATGGGGTCCCTCAGCACCACGTGCATGGCCTCTATCTCGCTGGGTGCAGACATGTTCCCCTTGGCTCAGTTGCACCCACCCCCAACTAGACCCCTGGAGCCCCCGACACCGTCTCTGCCGGGCTGTTTGCAGAGGAGCTGGCGGTCCTAGAGGGATGCACCCCTGGGCCCTGCCACGGAGCACAGCTGACTCCTGGGGAAGGGACTTGCCCAAGGCCACATCCCGAGGCTGTAGCGGAGCAGGCCGACAGAGAGGTGGGATGAAGATCTCCCTCCCTACCATCGGGACCGCACGCTGAGCCGACTTACGGTGGGAAGGGCTGGCGTCGTCCTCGATGGTGACGACGAGAGCGGCCTCCCGCGTGACACCGCCAGCACTGGCGCGGCACACGTACTCGCCCGAATCGGCCGAGGAGACCTGGGGGATGCGCAGGTGGGAGCCGGAGACCTGAGGGGAGCAGCAGTGGTCAGGAGAGAGCTATGGACCGGGAGCTGAGAGTCCCGTTCACCCTCCGGACCGGGGGCTGCCTCCTCTTGGCTCCGGAGACCACAGCCGGCTGATTTCTGCTGGCTGCCATCCGCCTCCGGGCTCCCCTCCTCGCTGGAGGAGGGCTGAAGAACCCCGCCTGTAGCTCTGCTCTGGCCTCCGTACCTGGTGGTTGTCCGGGAGGGAGCCCCCGCGCTTGTGCCACGTGATCTGGGGCTGCCCGGCCACCACGCAGTTGAGGTCCAAGGTCTGCCCCTCGGCGAGGGAGGACGAGGAGGACTCGATGCGGATGGGGTGAGTGGTGCTGGAGGCTGGGGGAGGAGAGAGGGGTGATTATGCTGGTCCGCTCCCCAGGCCTCTAAGGATGGAGGCAGCCACTATGCCTAACTGCCCAAGCGGAGGGGCACGATGATCTCTGCTCGGACCCTGTCTCCGGGGATCCTGTGCCTGCGGGCAACTCTCGTGCCTGCACGCTGCCCACACTCACAATAGTAGGAGCCAGCGCTGCTGGGGACGGTGACGATGACAGAGGCCTCCAGGGAGCCGGCACCGTTGAGGACGCGGCACACGTACTCGCCCGAGTCGGCCGGCGAGACCTGCAGAAGGCGCAGCCGGGAGCCCAGCACCTGGCAGGGAGAGGAGAGGTGAGGGCCAGGCGAGAGCGCAGCCCCGGAAAGCTCCTCCAGCCCTCACCGAGTCCCAGCAGCTCCGCAGGTGCCTGCCCTGGCGTGAGAGCCGGTTACGGCCTCGCATTTCCAGAGCACGAGGCTGCTCCTGGAAGTCTCCCCCGCCCCAAGGCACCAGCCACCTCCGGGCGCCCTGTCTCCATGCCGCGGCCCGGCTGCAACAGACTTGCTGCCCGTGGAGGGGCTGATGGAGCCTGGACCTCCCCCAGCCCCGCCGAGCCCCTGTACCTGGTGGCCAGCTGGCAGGGAGCCCCCCCGCTTGTGCCACGCGACTCTGGGGTGCGAGTGGCCGGCCACCATGCAGTTCAGGTCCAGGGTCTGTCCCTCGATGACGGAGGAGGAAGAGGTCTCGATCCTCACTGGCGGGGTGACGCCCAGAGCTGCAAGGGCCCGGAGGAGAAGGACGGAGGTGTCTCAGCACGCTGCGCCGTGGCCAGAGAGGTCAGGAGGATGCTCCCGTCCTCTGCCCTGGGCTGGATCCCCCCACGGGAAGGCTCCCCACCCTGATCCACTACTACTGGAGTTTCCCAGGTATCTGGGCCTTGCTGGTGGCCTCGTGGGGCTGGGAGGGAGTTTCCCTCCTCTCCCATCACTTGCACCATGTGTCAGGGGGCTTCTGAGCCTCCCCCAGAGGTGCTGGGTCCTGCTGCAGCCCAGGCTGGGGATGGGCACTGGGCTGTGGCAATGCTCCTGCTGGCACTGACCCCACAGGGTCCTGGCTGGAGGGTCTTGCCCCTGCGCTCAGGCTCAGATCCACACAGCACTGGGGCAGGAAGGGATTTCCCCCCTGCACAGACTGGTCCAGACTGGGGGGTTTGCCTTCCTCTGCTGGGGTCTCTTGAGCATTTATTAACCCCCTTGGACAGCAGTGGGATGTTGACTGCCATCGTCCCTCTGCTTTGCCTGGTGCAGGGCTGGGCGTGATGCCTGGTGCTGTGCCAGGGGTGACTGTGGTTTTGCTAAGAGGTTAGATATGGGTTTGTCTGGGCTGGTTTGCACAGGGCTGATCCTGCCTCAGGCTGCGGCTGGACCAGATGTGACCTTTGGAGGTCCCTTCAAGCCTCACTTCTCCAGGATTTTATGACCCCAAGATAAGCAATCAGCCAGGGCCTCTGCCATGTCTCCTCCGGGCATGTGCCCCTCTGAGCCCGGAGAGAGGGCACTGCTGGTGCAGCCCAGATCCACGGTACTCACAATAGGAGCCGACACTGCCCTCGATGGTGACGATGAGAGAGCTCTCGTGCGGGATGCCGCTGGTGAGGACGCGGCACACGTACTCGCCCGAGTCGGCCGCGGATACCTGGGGGAGGCGCAGGCGGGAGCCGGAGACCTGAGGCAGGGAGAGGAGGGATCATGGAGACCGGGTGTGAGCGGGGAGAGCAACGGGGTGGCAAGGAAGAGCCACCCTCTGCAAGGCAGTGACCACCACCACAAAGTCCTCCCAGGCCTCCCTGCCCCGCGTACCTGGTGGTTGGCTGGGAGGGAGCCCCCACGCTTGTACCACGTCACCTGGGCTGGCGACGGCCCTGCCACGATGCAGTTCAGCTCCAGCGTCTGTCCTTCGGCCACGGAGGACGATGAAGACTCGATCCTCACCGGCTGGGTGACACCCGAAGCTGGGAGGGCGAGAACGGGGAGGGTTATGGCAGGGAACCACATCCGCTGCCTTGCAGTGCCATGGGAGACAGAGATAGAGGACGCGAAGCTCAGATTCAGCCCGTCCTTTCTTGTGCCCCAGAAGGGATCACTCCTCAGTGAAGGGGCTTAGAGACCCAGCGACCAGAGACCCGGCAGCATGTACCCCCCAAACCCCAAAGGGCTCCTCGCGAGGCCTTCTGCACACAGCAGCCCGGCGTGGCCCCGACTCACGGTAGGGCACGGCACCGCTGTGCTGGATGGTGACGAGGACGGACGTCTCCTTGGTGGCGCTGCCGGTGCTGACGCGGCAGACGTACTCGCCCGAGCCCGGGCCCAGCCGCAGGCGGGAGCCGGAGATCTGGGGAGAGCCACGGGGAGACAGGAGGTGGGAGATGGATACACCCCCTGTAGCATCCCGGGCTCTGGGGATTCCTCCTTTCCTCCACCCTGCAGCTCTCCCTAAGCTCCCTCGGAGGCCTGGCGCTGCTGTCTACCCCAGGTGTGACAGCGAGGAAACCTGACAGGTCCCCAAGGGAAATCCTAGCTCCCAGCTCGGGCTCCACAGCTCCCCGGGACCCCACCATGGCCTGAGCACAGCAGGACGCGCTCTCCAGCGCATTCGCTATCTCCAGCTCGACTCTTCTGCTCCGTGGACCTCTTGCAGGATGGGAACCCAACCCTCAGGCCAAGGCAAGCCAAGCCCTGCCCTGGCTTCCCTACCTGGTGCCTGGCGGGCAGGGAGTCCCCGCGCTTGTACCAGGTGACCTGGGCCGAGGACTGCCCGGCCACCACGCAGTTCAGGTCCAAGCTCTGCCCTTCGGCCACGGAGGATGATGACGACTCGATCCTCACGGGAGGGGTGATGCTTGAGGCTGTGGAGCCCAAAGGGGCAGGTTACAGCGGGTGGCGCAGGCTGCAGCTTCGCAGCATCATGGGCATTGCACACTTTGCTGGCCATCTCCTGGAGTCTAGCACAGACTGATCGTTTCAGGCCGCTCCCAGGACCTCAGCCGTGGCTTGTTCAGTCTCGGATACCCGCCAAGCCCCTCACTCTCTGGGAGCCTTCCCTGGGTTTGTGTTTGCATCCCGCTCATCCCTCCCAGTAACTCCCACCACGGGCTCCGCGCACCCTGGGACGGGAGCCCCAGGCAGGGACACAGCTGTCGTGCCCCACCACGGACCCCTGAGCACCGGACAGCACGGCAGCCCTGCGTGGCCCCGCCCCCCCGGC